TTCTACTATACATCATCATTCAATTGTGTATTATTTAGTCTCCATTTGTTACTTCTCCTTTTATTTTATTGTTGATTTCTAATTTCATTCCATGTGGTCTCATAGAATGCAAGATATTATCTCTTTTTTTTGTATTTACTAAGATTTGCTTTGTGGCATAAGCTATAGTCTGTTTTAGAGAATGAGTCATATGCTGCTGAGAAGAAAGTATATTAGCTCGTTGATGGATGAAATATTCTACATATGTCTGTTAAGTCTAAATTATTGATTGTATTATTTAGTTCTATAGTTTCCTTATTTAGTTTTTGTTTTGGAAGATCTGTCCCATAGTGAAAGAGGTATGTTAAGGTCACCCATATTACTGTATTGTGGTCTATTTGACTCTTTAAATTGAGAAGCATTTGTTTGATGTACATAGATGTTCCATTGTTTGGGGCATACATATTTGTAATTGTTATATCCTTCTTATATATACTTTCCTTAAGAGGTATGAAATGTTCTTTTAAGGGAAGTATATATAATCTCTTCTGATTAACTTTGGTTTGAAGTCTAATTATCTGAGATGAGAATGGAAACCTCTGCTTGTTTATACAATCCATTTGAGTGATAAGATTTTCCCCATCCTTTTACCTTCAGCCTGTGGATGTCTTTGCTCATGAGGTGAGTCTCTTGAAGACAGCATATTGTTGGGTCTTGCTTTTTAATAAAATCTGCCAGTCTATGTCTTTGGATAGATGAGTTTAGGCCATTAACATTCGAGGTTATTATTGTGATCTGATTTTGTATTCCCTATCATTTTGATTTTTTTCTGGTTTTTGATTTGTCTTAGATTCTCATTTGGTTGAGTGTTGTTTTAGTGTAGATCCTCCCTTTGCTGGTTTTCATTTTTTTTTTCCCCTTCTTCATCCTCATGGAATATTTTGTTGAGAATGCGCTGTAATATAGACTTTCTAATTGTGAATTCTTTTAATTTTTGTTTATTATGTAATGTGTTCCTATCTTATTCATAATTACTTTTGTACTGTAATGATTTGGACATAAGCACAAAAAATACATGTTTAATATAGATGTAATTTTTTCCTATTGCATTTTCCATCCATGGTTGCTTGAATTCACAGATATAGAGGGCCAACTTATGTAGATCTGTATCTGTGCTCTCTACTCTGTTTCATTGATATATTTCGGCATGACTTTTGTTGAAACCATGTTCAATCTGATAAAATAAAGGTATTGTGTCCAACAACAACTAAAAGAATATTAAAAATAAATAGAAAGTATTCTGGCTGTGTCAGATCAGCTTATAAGAATATTGAGGTTCCACAGTGAGTTTAGGTCAATCTTTCATTTGTTTTTTTTATAATTTTTTACACCCTTATTTTATTTATTTTTATGTGGTGCTGAGGATCAATCTCAGCACCTTGTACATGCTAGGCAAGTGCTCTACCACTGAACTACAATCCCAGCCCAGATCAATGTTTTTTTCTTTGTGTTTCTGTGCTGGGAATTGAACACCTAGGGGCACTTTACCAAGAGCTACATCCCCAATCCTTTAAAATTTTGTTTTTCTTTGCTGTGAAACTGGATCTTGCTAAATTGCTGAGGTTGGCCTTGACTTCATGATCCTCCAGCCTCCCAATCCCACCCTGGGATTATAGGCTTGTGTCACTATGTCTGATTCAGATCAGTTCTTCACATTAGAGGCTGCCTTTCCCCCCATATCTCAGCTTTTTCTTTTATCTTCTCTATTTTTCTTTTCTTTCTCTTTCCTCTCCCTCCTTCCTTTGTCATTTTTTATTTTCTTCAATGGATTTGACATTTTGTTTCAGTTAAACTCATCCTTCTCTGTTTTTAGATTATCAGAAGACCAAAGTTTGACCCAATCTCATGGAAAGATATTTGTGATTCTTCATTGCTTTCCCTCATGATATTCCTTTCCTCGTGTGCAGGGTACCCACTGCTCACACCCAATCTGATCTCCCAGTGGGAACAAGAGGAGGAACTGCAGACAGTGAAGACAGAACTTATCCAGGGCATCTGTACGGAGCAGCACCAGGAAGGCAAGAATCCCTGGGAGAAACTGGCCTGGGAGGAGAAAAAAATAAAATAGAAATGAAGCAAAAGTTTGTTTTGTCTGAGGAGGCTCATTATCCACAGATGAGCCTCAGAGGACTATTTTGACTGTTTATCTGTCCTCTCAATCTTTCCTTGTTCTTGGCAAAGATCTCCATATTTGCTTTTTTAAAGTTTGTTTTTGGTATGTGTATTTTATCCTTTCTGTTTTCCTCTCCTAATAATTTTTAAAAAATTATTAATGAAAGTTTTTAGTATATTTTCTATACTAATATGAAATATCAAGTTAACAGAAAAATTTTAACGTAAACTCTTTTTTAAAAAAATTATTTATGTATTTATTTGTTCTACTTTGTTATACATGATAGCAGAATGCATTTTGATTCATATGAAGCCCAATTTTTCATGTCTCTGGTCCCAATAATTTCTACTGGTCATGTTACCATCACTGTCATTCTTCATAGAACTATTTTTTTATTTTTCAGCACTGGGGAACCCAGGAGTGCTTTACCACTGAGCTATATCCCATACCCTTTTTAATTTTGAGACTGGGTCTAAGTTGTTGAGGCTGTGCTTTAACCTGTGAACCTCCTATCTCAGCCTCCCAAGTAGCTGGGATTACAACCATGTGTTACCATACTATGGTAATGTTACCATACTATGGTTTCATGGAAATATTTTTTAGTGAACTGTTTTACTTTTGTCCCTTGTGACTATTAATAATGAAGTCCTGAAACAGCTGCACTGCTCAAAGTCCTTCGCTCATAGGTAACTTTATTTCTTTCTTCTTTTTTTCTTCTTCCAGGCTTTGAGTCTCTACTTAATACTAAGGAATTAGTTGTTCTTCAAGATAACAATGGAGAAAAAATATCCAATGAACAGAAAATAGTGAGATTCAAAAGAAATGGTTCCTGCTCCTCTATTTTACATGAAAACCAGGACTTCCATGGTGTGGATGATTGGATCAAAAGCCATGAGAAAGGTTTAAGGTGAGTGCCCTTCATATAAGAGTATGTAGTGCATCAGGAAACAGTTTTGAGGTTTAAGAAACATATTTTGGGGCTGGGGTTGTGGCTCAGTAGCAGGCAGAGTGCTTGCCTCCCACATGTGAGGACTGGGTTTGATCCTCAGCATCACATAAAAATGAATAAACGAAATAAAGATATTGCATGCATCTATAACTAAAAAATATTTTTTAAAAAGAAACATATTTTCAACATAAACCTAGGTCAAATATTATGCTTTCATAAGAATGAAATCATGGCATTTGCCAGTAAATGGATGAAGCTGGTGCAAAGAACAAAAGGCGAAGTGTTTTCTCTGATAGGTGGATACTAATTTACAATTGGGTGGGATTGAGAAGAATAGAGGTACTTTGGATTAGACAGAGGGGAGTGAGGGGAAGGGAGGGTGTGTGGGAATAATAGTAGAATGAATTGGACATTACTATCCCATGTGCATATATGATTACATGACCAGTGTAACTCTACATCCTGTATAACCAGAAGAATGAGAAATTATAGTCCATTTATGTATGATGTATCAAAATGCATTCTGCTATCATGTATAACTAATGAATACATGCAAATAAAAAATAAATTTAAAAAAGAAATAAAAGGATTCAAATTCAAAATAAAAAAATATTGTGCTTTCACGAAGAATTTTGTCTAGATAGTTTTTCCTACAAATGATGCTGAGATATTGAAGGTTTGACACATAGATTGGTTTGACAGATTTATCAGAAAAATCATACAAGTCAAAAGCTCAGTGATAATGTTGGCTGTGGAAGAGCGTTCTTGAGAACTTTTAGCTTATAAGTTGATGGGGCACAAAGCATACATATTTACTGAAAATGGTAAATTTTTTTACTAATAATCTGTCTTTTATTTTTAAAAGTCATGTGGTAGAGAACATCTGTGAATACAATGAAGAAAATCAATGTGGACAAATTTCAAATCTTATGCTCCAGAGAACTACTGAAGTCAAATCCTTTGAATGCTGTGAGTGTGGAAAGTCCTTCCTGTTTCATTCATCACTTAAGAATCACACCAGATCTCATGCTGGAAACAAACCCTATCAGTGTAAGGAATGTGGGAAAGCCTTCCATTTTCTTGGTGGTTTTAAGAAGCATATGAAAACTCCTACTGAAGAAAAACCATATGAATGTAAGGAATGTATAAAGGCCTTCAGTTGTTCCTCCCTGTTCAGAGCACATATGAAAATTCATAGTGAAAAGGCAAAGTATGAATGTAAGGAATGTGGGAAAACCTTCAGTAGTTCTTCCCACCTCACAGAACACAAAAGAATTCACAGTGGAGATAAGCCCTATGAATGTAAGGAATGTGGGAAGGCCTTTAGTTGTTCCTCATCACTCTCGAAACACAAAAGAATTCATAGTGGAGATAAGCCATATAAATGTAAGGAATGTGGGAAGGCCTTTAGCTCTTCCTCTCATCTTATAAGACATATAAGAATTCACACAGGAGAGAAGCCTTATGAATGTAAAGAGTGTGGGAAGGCCTTCAGTGAATCCTCAAAACTCACTGTACATATGAGGACACACACCGGAGAGGAACCCTATAAATGTAAGGAATGTGGGAAAGCCTACAACTGCCCCTCCTCCTTAAGTATCCACATGAGAAAACACACTGGAGAGAAACCTTATGAATGTCTGGAATGTGGAAAAGCCTTCTATCTTCCCACTTCCCTGAACACACATGTGAGCAATCAAAGTAGAGAGAAACCCTATGAATGTAAGGAATGTGGGAAGGCCTTCAGTTGTCCCTCATCCTTTAAAGCACATGTGAGAGATCACAATAGTAAGGTGCAATATGAATGTAAGGAGTGTGGGAAGGCCTTTAGTCATTCCTCATCCCTCACTGAACACCTAAGAACTCACAGTGGAGAAAAGCCTTATGAGTGTAAGGAATGTGGGAAGGCCTTCATTAGTTCTTCCTATCTTACAGTACATAGAAGAACTCACACTGGAGAGAAACCTTATGAATGTAAAAAATGTGGGAAAGCMTTTATTYGTTTCTCAGCTCTTAGTATCCACATGAGAWCCCACACTGAGGAAAAACCCTATGWATGTAARGAATGTGGGAAGGCATTTCGACATTCTTCATCCCTTACTATACATKCAAGAMTGCATACTGGAGAAAAACCYTTTGAATGTCTGGAGTGTGGAAGAGCTTTCCGTTCTCCCTCATCCTTTGGGATACATGTGAGAAGCCATACTGGAGAGAAACCATATGAATGTAAGGAATGTGGGAAAGCCTTCAGTAGTTCTTCCCATCTTACAGTACATAGAAGAACTCACACTGGAGAAAAACCTTATGAATGTAAAAAATGTGGGAAAGCCTTTATTTGTTTCTCAGCTCTTAGTATCCATATGAGAATCCACACTGAGGAAAAACCCTATGAATGTAAGGAATGTGGGAAGGCATTTAGACATTCTTCATCCCTGACTATACATGCTAGAATGCACAGTGGAGAAAAACCCTTTGAATGTCTGGAGTGTGGAAGAGCTTTCAGTTCTCCCTCATCCTTTGGGATACATGTGAGAAGCCATACTGGCAGGAAACCATATTAATATAAGGAATGTGGCAAAGCCTTTATTTGTACAGCCTACTTTCGAAGACGTGAAAATTCACACAAGGGACAACATATAAATGTAAGGAGTAAGGGAATCTCTGCAAGACTTTTTCTGAACTAATGCAGTTTGTGGAGTCTCATTTTGTGAAGTGTCATACTGTAGAGACTCTATAAATATGAGAAAGTGAATAGTTGAGGACAACTGAGAGAAACCCTGTGTTTGTAAGCTATAAGGTAAAGCCTTTTGATTTTGAACATAACTTGTGCCGCAGTCTGGCTGGGCTGTGCAAAGTAGCTGGTGGGGGGTGGGGCGACAAGCAACTTGTGAAGGTGGAAACAGCGGGAGCCGCTGTGTTCAGACCAGCAGAGGTATATATACCCAAGTGAATACAGACAGCTTATCTCAATTAATATCATCCAGTTACAGCAATCAGTCATTAAGGAATCCTCACCATCTTAATAATCAGACACAGCTTAACTCAATTAACATCATCTAGATACAGCAGTCAGTCATTAAGGAATCCTCATCATCTTAATAGCTCGCTGGCGTTACTTCTCAAACCACTCCTCCTGGCAGCGTGCCAGACACCTTCTTGACTTGGCTGTGGCTCTCAACATTTGTGTAAGAAAATTCTAAATTTGAGCTAGAAAAGAACATCAGTGCCTCATTAAAGTGGACTTCTAGAGGGTCATTGATTTCCAATGTTTTCTAATAGGAAGATTTAAGGTTATATGTTTCCCTTTTCAGCTTTTATGACATAATTTTGAGTATGAGGTGAGTTTCTTTAGCTAAGATGTAAATGTTATTTCTATTACAAAGTCTTTTGAACTCTTGGGAGATTGTGTGTGTATGGGTGAGACAGGGTCTGGCTATGTTGTCCAGGCCTGTAACTCCTGGACTTCTGCCTTAGCCTCCTAAGTTTGGGAGTGCAGGCATATATCATTGAGTCTGGCTCAAGTGCATTTTTTTTTTTTTTTTTTTTTTGGCAGGCAGGAAAATGGTGGTTGTTTTTTTTTATTGTTTAAGTTTGAATGCAAAGAATGGGCACCTTCTTCTTCTTCATCTTCGTCTTTGACTTCGCCTTCTTCTTCTTCATCGTCTTCCTCTTAGTCTTTGCCTTCGTCTGGATACTGAAAGTTGCATACCCAATAATTCCCCCCTTCCCTTTATACTAAGAGTACCAACTGTTTTTGAGAATATTAGTGTTTACTATCAAAAGCTTTTCATGTGTAATAAAAAGTTTTAGTAGAAATTAATTAGTACAAAGGCGTTGAAAGAGTATAGTCTCATCTATTTGCTGTTTTGTGTTTTATTCTTTATGTTTGTTCATGACTGGAATCTTTTTGAATTTAAATTTTTTAAGTTGTTGATGGATCTTTATTTTATTTATTTATATGTGGTGCTGAGAATCGAACCCAGTGTCTCATACACGCTAGGTAAGCACTCAATTACTGAGCCAGAGCCCCAGCCCTCATGGCTGGAATTTTGATCTAATGTTTTAAGTTAATAAAGTGTGTTATACTAATTTGGATATAGCTGAAGACTACATTTCCCTTAATCACTTCTAATCCTAGGTGATAGTTTTCTAAAATAGCTTTGCAAGGAGTTTGAAAGGCTTTAGGGAAGGAGCTACAATTGCCTGCTTATTAGGACCACGGTATAGGTAGACCAATGAGTAGGGACCTTGTGGGCCCCAGTTTTCACCTCATTTTTCTAAGTATTGAACACAGTGATCCATCCTTGCTCAAAACTGAATGTTAAGTGCTTGACCTAAGTCTCCTCAGGGGCTGCACCTCCACAAACATCTCCATTATCTCCTGTATCCTGGCCAAACACAACTTAGATTTCTCTGGCAAGCTCTGGTGTTGCCATTTTGGCATTTTTGCTTCTTATTGCACTTCCTCTGGCACTTTCACTGCCCTGTTAGAGTTGTCCAGTTTGTGGAAGGATTGTCATCATGCTCACAGTCCAGTCCCATCCTTCACTCTGCTTATGGGATTGATGTCTATACAAGCCTATCGTGCCGCAGTCTGGCTGGGCAGAAAATCACGAGCCACTCAAGCAGGAACAAACTTTATTTTTGAAACTGCCGCCAATACCCCATACACTCCCGGGAAGATTGCCGACCGACCCATGTGGCGTTCTCCCGGACCTCCACAGGAAGTCCCTCCTCCGGAATTCCCTCCTACCGCACTTCCCCAACCAATGGGAACTCTCCAGGAGTTCCATAGCAGGCCGAGGTGAACAGCAGGAATCTAATATCCATAAGAATGCAGATCTTAACATAATCATATCATTTCAATGGCTTGCTGGTGTCACCTTTCAACCAAAAATTCCATGCATCAGATTACTTGGCTATGGCTCTTAGCATCTCCCCCTTTCTGTTTAATTAAGCAACAAGCAGTGTGGCTAGGGACTGTGCCTATTAGGTTTGTCCAATTCAACATATGGTTCTTACCCGTCATCTGATGAACTGACCTCTAGGCGTCATCCTCCAGTCTTAGGTTGATACCACTGCAATTGGATCATACCCGTCACTGACTACCAGTCTAGCATATAGCCATACTTGTGGATAGGCCTATGCACCAGTGGGGGGGTGAGGTTCTTAGCCTCACCTCTGTTGGCCCCCAAATTTGGCCTTGGTGCCGTTGGGGCGGTGAGGTTCTTTGCCTCAACTCTGTTGGCCCCCAAATTTAGACCATCACTAGTAGAAGGGAGGAGGATACAGAAATGCCATGACACCAAGCCAATTGATGGCTCCTTAGGAAAAATTGCATCACTGGTGACACATCAGCAAAGATACACCAGCACTAACATAATTCGCTGCATTAACAGATAGTTCACAATGCATACAAGTGATATATAGTCCAAGCAAGTTCTGCAAGAAGTTCAAAGCGGAGGAATCTATCAATATGTCCATTTCCTCCCAAAATAAATCGACTCATTGATTGAGCATTACTTGTTGAGTTATTATTCATTGATGCATCAGTTTATACAGTTTGTTGTGATAACTATCGAAGAAGTTGTAGTTTGGTTTCATTTTTGTCTTCACTGGCACTGGGATGAAAATAGGAATTCTGACAATGATGCTAAAAAAATTATGTAACATTTCAACAGGTACTGAGAAAACAATTTTCTGAACAGTTTACATTATCCTGAACAGAATTATTAAATATAATGAAAAGGAAAGGTGAAAGTAAACAAACAGATCTGTCAACTTCCTATTTGTTCACATATTAAAACAATCCTCAACAGCTGTTTACCCAATTTAAATTAAACCATTAAAATCATGTGAATAATAAAAAAAATTTGGATCCATTTATTCATGAGCATTCCTCATATATGATATATGGACACATGCACATACAGACATACAACACAACAGAAATGTGCACATATAACATACAACACATAAGACAATAGTAAAGGCCTTGTAGCTTTACACAGGTGAAATCTCCATTGCAATGTTTAAAAACTCCACAGTCAAAAAATAAAACTGATCAGAAAAACATTAACCTAGGTCTGTATGAGCTCAAAAATAAAATAGAACTTTATGATGTGGGAAAAAGCAATAATAAAATAGATATTGAAAAAAGCATCCTGGTTAATCACTGTCGCAGATGTAAGACTAGCCAACTGGAGCTCTGGATATCAGCTGTTATGGATTTGAGTCAAATCATCTTTTTTGGGGGTCTGTAGAAATTGTTTTGGTTAGTCTCTCTGGAATCCAAATCGGCTGTTGTTCTCCCTGTGGAAACACACAAACAGAACCCTGACACCAGACAATCACTGGGTCAGGACCTTTCCATTGTCCTGTTAGAACATCCTTCCAAAGAACCTTAGGCTTATGTATATTTTTTGGATACAGATGTCTTTCCGCAGCACTAAGCCCTGATGAATCCAAATTTAAAATGTTTAGAGTAAAAAGGGTTATTTTAAGTTTATCTTTGGGGGATATATACCCCTTTCCAATTCCCTCCTTTTGTTTTAATAAGTACATTTTAATAGTTTGATGAGCTCTTTCAACTATGCCTTGTCCCTGTGGATTGTATGGAATTCCTGTTATGTGAGTAATGCCAAATGATGAGCAAAATTGTTTAAAAGAGGTAGAGGTATAGCCAGGGGCATTATCTGTTTTTAGCTGTTTTGGAATGCCCACATTGGCAAAATTTTGTAAGCAATGAGCTATAATATCTTTAGTTTTTTCTCCAGCATGAAGGGAGCCCATCAAAAATCTGGAAGAAATATCAACTGTAACATGCCAATATTTTAATTTTCCAAATTCCGGCAAGTGTGTGATGTCCATCTGCCAAATATGGTTAGGTATCAGTCCTCTAGGATTGACTCCAAGATTAACTTTTGGTAAAAAGGTCACACAATTTTGACATTGTTTTATTATTTGTCTAGCTTGTTCCTTAGTTATTTTAAAATGCTTCTGTAAAGTATTAGCATTGACATGGAAGCTTTTATGAAAATTTGTAGCTTCTTCTAGTGTAGAGAAAATATGTATGTCATGTGTAGTTTTTTCTGCTAAATCATTGCCCAAACTAAGGGCTCTAGGCAATCCTGTATGTGCCCTGATATCTCCTATAAAGAATGGATGTTTTCTGTCCAAGATTAGACTTTGTATAGTGGAAAACAAAGAGAAAACAGTAGAGGAAGTAGAAATTACCAGCATCTTCAAGGGATACTATAGCATTAACTAATACTGACTATCAGAAAATAAATTAAATACAGAATCTTTAAACATCACAAAAGCTTGTAATACTGCATTAAGCTCTACATTTTGAGCTGATTGTTTGGGTACTAAAAATGTAAAAGTTTGATCAGGGGTAACTACTGCTGCTGTACCATTATTTGACCCATCAGTGAATATATTTGGAGCATTCATGATAGGTGTTTTTCGTGTCATTTTTGGAAAAAAACTACAGGATGCGAAGACCAAAAAGACAACAAAGGCTTAGATGGTAAGTGATTATCAAATGAAACATTAGATTTACACATGATTATTGCCCAAGTATTTAACTCATTAGCTAACTCATCAATTTGATCATAGTATATGGAGTAATAATTTTCTTGTAAGAAATTCCAAACACCCCCTTTGCTGCTTTTATTCCTTTGTGTATCAATTGTCCTACAGCCTCAGGATACCTAGTAAGAATAGTGTTAGAAGAATAAGATAAATGTATCCATAATAATGGACCTTCTTGCCAAAATACTCCTGTAGGAATATTTTTTGTTGGTATTACGATAAATAACAAAGGCAAACTTATATCAATTATATTCAAATGCATATTTTCCATATATGTTTCAATAATTTTTAATGCCTTTCTTGCTTCAGGCGTTAACATGTGGGGTGAATTTGGATCTGATGGACCTTTTAGGATATCAAATAAAGGTCCTAGCTCTCCTGTTGGTATGCCTAGATAAGGCCTTATCCAATTTATGTCTCCCAATAACTTTTGAAAGTCGTTAAGTGAT